CTGTTTCAGTGCTCCCTTTCTTTTTTATAACTCAAGTAAATAATGTTTATACTGGGAGGTGTTTTCTATCACCCCTGGACCAAGTTAGTAACTACTTACTATGCACTGCAACACTTTGTACTTTCCTCTCATTTTATATTAGAGATGATTTCTGTTGCATTATATCATTTACATGTCTCTTTCCACCACTAAATGGTAAAGTCTTAATCATTTTTCAGTCCTACATCTCTGCCCGAAGACCAAGTCTAATGTGGTACAGGTGTTAGTAAGTATTTGTTACATGAATAAATGGAAATGCATATTACAGTCAGGCAACACGGATTACTGAGACAAATTCTTAACCTATTCTTTGGTAATGTGAGTCAGAGTCCGATCCAGAACTTAAATCTATCTTCTTAGATTTTCTGCTCGTGCTAAAATTAGACTTGATGGACCCTCAGCAGCCAGTGACTCTGTTATGGTAAAACACAGTCTACAGCCGCTCAACTTTCTTTACCAGCTATGGGAGTCAGCGTTGGAGCCCTGGCCCATTGCTTTTCCTTTGCTCTAATCCTAACTTTACTTAACTTTTCGTCCCTTATGAATGAAACCTGACTGTGATCTGTTCACATGTACAGGAAGTTACATAGAGCTTATATTTATATTTAAATATAATATTACTTACATAGAACTATATTTATGTTTATTTTAAGTATATCATTTTTCCTCTTGTGTAGAAAGGATGGTGCTTTGTTAACGCTAAAGACTATACAAGGGTAATATAATAATAGCAACTAACACATAACATTTTACTATGTGCCAGGAACAAAGTGTTTTTATGTACATTAGCTCATTTAATCCTAATTGTAACTTCATGAAGTAGTTCTTATGATTGATATGATAATTTAACAGTTGAGGAACCTGAAGCAGACAGAAGTAACTTGTTCTAAGAACACAAAACTACTTAACTGGTAGACCTGGGATTTGAATTCAGGAAGTCTTAACTGTGTACTGTGCTGGGTAGGGATATAAAACTGCTTTCTCTCGTATCTTTTACCATGTAGTACTCTACATGTAGGGGACATGACAATAAGTGATATGGACTGATAATATTTGCTTTTGCTATGTAAAACTTTTGATGAAAATATGCTGGGAGAATAACCTTTTACTTAATATCTCCTTTTAGGGGTAATTGGTGTGCTGATTTATAGTCTCTGCAGATTTAAACTGCCTGTAATTTCTTTGTGGCATTCACTCCTTACTCAACTCAGATCCCAGAATTGCCTTCCTTCTTTTCCTCAGGCTTACTTGATAGCTATGGAGCATTGCCCATGCCATAGCTTTCAGGCTGTGCTCTTGTGGCTTGTGAAACACTTGTTTATGGGCACAGAGTGATCTGGAGTTAAATAGAAACATCCTTCTCCATGGAACAACAATTTACTCTACATGCCAACTTGGCAGCAGGGTAGACCATTGGGGGGCTGTGGTTAAGACAGGTAGCCAAGATATGAAGGAGGTTTCTAATCCAGACTCATGCTAATAAACAGAGTGGTAACCAAAACACTTTAATGAGATCTTTGTGTTTTGCATGTAGTTTAGTTAAGAGTAACCAACTGAAGTTGACTAATTGGCCACATTCCTCATAAAAAATTATTGGAGGGCTAGACTAGTATCAGTTTACACTGTATATACTAAAATGAAGCTATATTTAGGTAGATGGTATCAAGCATTGAAAATGTTCCATGAACCAAGTAGTTTCTTGACTCTGGCCATGAGCTCTATTTCAGACATGTCTAAATTGGTAGGTAGACAGCATCTAGGTGGTTCTGTGACTGAATATGTGACCTTAAATGAGAATTATTTAACTTTTCCAAGGCTGAGTTTCTTCATTTGTAACATGAAAAGTCCTAATGCTTATTGCTCCAGCTTCCACACTCTTTTCTTCCATTACTACTTTATTATAATAGGCTTTTTCCAAATAATCTCTTTGATTAAGTTTGTTAAGGTGTATCATTCCATTACTTAGCGTGTCTCAGCTCTTATTTGCAGAATTTGTAAGAAGGCAATTTCAACAGAACTTTCTTACTTATATGTAAGTGTCAGAGTTACTTAGCTATGTAGACACCTTTGATCTGAAAGAAAATCATACTTGAGATTTTTATCACAATTAGTAGGCCACATTTATTGTTCCTTAAAATTGGAATTATCAGCAAGTAACAAAGTAGAGATTTGGAGATTGGAACTATACAACTTCTGTTTGAATATGACTCATGAGCTTTGAGAAAAATGCAGATTTCATTTTCTGAGCTCTTCATCTTCTTTCTTCTCAACTTAAAAAAAAAAACATGGCTTGATGGCAAGAGCTCAGACATGTATAACCATGTGTAGTGCAAAAGTTGCCACGTTGTAAGTCAGCCTAATAAGTTTTCTTCATTTAGGCGAATAAAAGCATGGGGAATAGAGAAGATTAAGGGAAACAAGGGAAGGGCTTGTTAGAATCCAAAATGAACACATTTTTGAAACTTAAGTACTGTTAACTCTTAGGCAATATGATACTTGTTCTTAATTGAAGGAAGATGTTCTCTGGTCCCAACTTGTAAACATTTGCAGTCTTGAGGTAATATGCCAGTTTACTGAGAAGAAAATCTTAATCAGTATGACACTTCATGGAAAATTCTTTACTTCTCCTGTCTCTTGGCTGTCTCTCTTGAAAGCATACAGATCTGTGTCCAGAGCCTGCCTGACCACTAAGCACATAATCAGATATAGTTCTCACCATTTGAGTGTCAAACTGTCTCTGCCAATAGGGTTATGAGTCTCTTACACAGGGCAGACAGTTGCTGGGGTCACCTGTCATGTTGGAGCAGACTGCTGTGATGATTCCCACTTAAGCAGTAGTTACATTATATCATGATTGGAATGGAGAGACAGGTACTTGGAAGGATTGATTCAAGCTCTGCATCAGTCAGTCTTAACTACTAATATGTTAAAGCCCTCCTGTAGTAAAGATCTCCTGATGGTGGAGATTGCCAAATTTACTGAGTTCTTTATCACCTTTAATTTATTTGTACTACTGGCCCTCCGTATCCACGGGTTCTGCATCCATGGATTCAACCAACTGCAGATTGAAAATATTTAGGAAAAATAAAAAATAAAAATTTAATATTAATAAAAATAATACAAACACACACAGTACAGTATAATAACTATGTAGTACTTACAGTGTATTGGGCATTTTAAATAACCTGGAGATGATTTAAAGTATCAGGAAGGATGTGCATAGGTTATATGCAAATACTATACCATTTTATTTAAGAAACTTGACCCTCAGTGGATTTTGGTATCTGCAGGGGGTCTTGCAACCAGTCTCCCATGGATACTGAGGGACAGCTGTATAGTTTCTTGGCGTGTGAGTCCTTGGCTGCCTAGTTGGGGCAAGGGGACTTTGAGCTCAGAAATGCTGGGTTTCACAGGGACCTTATCAATCAGTATTTCTATCCCTGTTTCAGTCCTTAGCCAGAATACCTTCAGTAAAATGCTTCATGTGAGAACCATGATTAGTTCTTTCAGGGTTTTGCTATTTGAGCCAGAGATTGGTTAAAAAGTTTCTATTGAATGTAGTTGTCTTTTAAAAAGTTGTATGATAAATTTATTGATCACTTTTCATCTGTCAAAGAAGGGATCAGTTACAGCTGTGATTTTCAGTTACTAGTAGGGATTGAGGATATGGCAGACTGTCTAGGTTCTGATTCCCTATTCTATGGCAACTTTATTAGTTTCCTGTGGCTTCTGTAACAAATTAACACAAACTTGGTAGCCTAAAACAAAATTATTCAATTATTTTCTCACAGTTCTGGAGGCCAGAAGTTTAAAATCAAGGTGTCATCGGGGCCATATTCCCTCTGGTATATACACATTGTATGTGTATACTGTATTTCACTTTTCCATTCACCCATCAATGGACTCTTCCACTGCTTCCGCATTGAAGCTCTTGTGAATAAGGCTGCTGTGAACATGGGTGTACGAATATCTCTTTGAGGTCCTGCTTTCAATTATTATTATTTCTTTTCTTTTCTTTCTTTCCTTCTTTTTTGTTTTTTTTTTAAACAGAGTGTCATTCTGTTACCCAGGATGGAGTGCAGTAGCACAGTCTCCATTCACTGGAAACTCCACCTCCCAGCTTCAAGGAATTCTCGTGCCTCAGTCTCCTGAGCAGCTGGGATTACAGGCGTGTGCCAACATGCCCAGCTAATTTTTTGTATTTTGGTAGAGACTCGGTTTCACCATGTTGCCCAGGCTGGTCTTGAACTCCTGAGCTAAGGCAATCCACCCACCTCAGCCTCCCAAAGTGCTAGAATTACAGGCATGAGCCACCATGCTCAGCCTCAGTTATTTTGAGTATATACCCAGAATTCTTCTGAACTTAAAATTTTATTTTTGAATAGAATAGAAATTCTATTTTTAACTTTTTGAGGAACTTCCATACTGTTTTCCATAGAGGCTATACTATTTTACATTCCCCTGAGCAGTGCACAAGGGTTTTAATTTTTCTACATCCTTGCCAATACTTTTGAAAAATGTCCTTGCCTGCTAAAATTTCATTTTTATATTTTGTTATTTATTTTTAGAAATGGGGTCTTGCATGTTGCCCAGGCTTGACTGCAGCCTCAATCTCCTGGGCTCAAGCAATCCTCTTGCCTCAGCCTCCCAAGTAACTGGGACTACAGGCCTATTTTGTTTTTTTGATAATAGCCATCCTAATAAGAATGAGGTGGTATCTCATTGTAGTTTTGATTTGCATTTCCCTAATCATTGGTGACACTGAGCATTTTTTCATATGCTTATTGGTCATTTGTATATCTTTGGAGACATGTCCATTCATTTTTGCCCATTTTTCAATCATGTTGATAGTTTTTTGTTGTTGAGTTTTAGGAGTTCTTGATATACTCTGGATATTAATCCCTCAACAGATATATAATTTGAAATTTAAAAATTTATTATGTACATATATTTTTGCTTATAAAAGTATGAAATGCTTCATGAATTTGCTTGTCATCCTTATTATGTAGGGTCCATGCTAATCTCAGTATCGTTGCAATTGTAGTATATGTACTGCTGAAGTGAGCACTGATTTGCTAATATTTTCTCCCAATCTGTGGACTGCGTTTTTACTCTTTTGGTGGTGTTTTTTGATATACTCCCTCAATAATTCTGTCCGCATGATTTGTTGAAATCAAGGAAAGTGTGGGCTGAAAAATCCAAATAAGTAGGTGTTAGGCTGCACTAAGCCCAGCTTCTAGTCTAACATATGCCCAGACACTTGGAGCTGGGTTTTATGGGGAAGAGAGTTGCTCTGAGGCCAAAGCAGGTAGTGTTAGCGGTATTCTGAGACACAACAGCAAGGTCAGCTCTGAAAGCTGGCACTTGCTGGTGGCGACAGTTGCAGGCTATTTTGGGAACCGAGGAGGCTTTGTTTTGTAAGGCCTTCTCTGCACTCCCAGATTTAACCCTGGCACTGATTGATCATCAGCCACTTTTGTCTTTGATATGGAGAGAGCAATATCAGGTACAGTAGTGAGATCACAGTGCTCTTTCCCCAGATTATTGGTAAAATCAAGTATTTTTCCTTGGAGATTGTCATTGCCGGACAAATGTGACATGCTGACGTTAGGAAGCTTTAATTTGTTACCTAGCAGTTTTTCTAAATAGTTCCTTCAGACTAGTAATTAAGTCATATCTCTATTTCTTAAGGAGCTTAGAACACGTTGTTACTTTAGTAAAATTTGATGTGTCTTCAGGAATGCAAAATAGGAGGAAATGGACTTAAACTGCATCAGGAGGAATCTGGGCCAAATGCAAAGAATTTCCCCATTATCTTGGGTAACATCAAAAGCTTGTTTAGCCTGCTTCCCAAGAAAAGGAAAGACCTCTGTCTCTGGAAGGTTGAGCATAGCTCTGTGTAGAGGCATGGTGTTGAAGTTCATGTCCCTGGACGTAGTTTTATAAGTGGGCGAATCTGCTCATCTACCATGCTTCAGTCGTGAATGAGTCAGCAGCACAGCTGCAGATGGAGTGGGCAGAAGGGCATCTAAATTTAGTCGTTATTCACTTGAGAAGGTTTTCAGGAACTGTGCGTCTCTCATCCATGCTTTAGTCATATTCCTTCTTCTAGAGGCAAAAAAAGAGAAAGAGAGCAAGAGAACAGTCACTCCAAGGTGCTTCATGAGAGTGAGTGTCCTACCACTCTGTTAATTGGTCTCATCTACAACAATGATGCTCTTCCATCTTAACCAGGTGCAACTATTTTATTCATATAGCTCCTGAATTTAAGAACCCATGGGATTCTGAACATTAGACAGGGACTTTTCTGCAGTTAGACTTACAAACAAGCTCCAGAATCTTGTTAGTTCAATGACATTTTTAACCAAACAGCTTTCCTCCTTTAAGGTACTGGGGGTGGGGAGGGCTGCGATCAGCGAGAAATAAGTACTTTTTTTTTTTTTTCCCCCTTGAGGCAGTAGCTGTATGTTAAACTATTGCCTTAACAACAACAAAGTCAGGAACTATTCCAAGGGCTTATCTCCTTAAATCTTTACAGAACCTTACGAAGTAGGTGGTATTCTCAATGCTATAGATGAGTACATACACTTAAAAGTTAGGTTAAATACCCCACTCTAGGTTGTACGTATCCGCAGAGCAGGCATGCAAGCCCTGGTCTGTCTGACTCCAAAGCTGGTGCTTTTATTTATTTTACAAATAGAAATGGAGTCTCACTATGTTGCACAGACTTCTCCCGCCTTGGCCTCCCAAAGTGCTGGAACTACAAGTGTGAACCACAATGCCTGCCAAAACTGGTGTTTTTAACAATATCGTTCTTCACTTTGTGGAGGGATGGGGAATGATTTAAACATTTGGCCTCCTTTATTTTCTCCAAGATGGTTCTTCACAGATTGATGATCACCACATTACATTTTTAGATTAGGCTAGTTTTGTTGTTGTTCTCTCAAACTTTCTTAGAATGTCATTCTCATAAAGATTTTGTATCAAACTGGCTGTAGTGGTATGTGCGTACCTGTATTCCCAGCTACTTGGAAGGCTGAGGCAAGAGGATTTTTAAGCCCAGGAGTTCAAGACAAGCCCTGGCAACACAGCAAGACCCAGTCTTAAAATTTTTTTTGTATCAAGGATTTGAGATTTATAGACACAATATCACAAAATTTAAAAGAAGAGAACTGAAGTAGTGATGGGGTGAAGGAGATTAAGAAAGAGGAGAAGTAAGGGGGAGGAAAGAGAAAAGATAATTTTTCTCCCATTTGATACCTGGACTAGCTGGGCTTATTTTAGGGCCTCTGGAATGTGGCTGCTGTCGTCTTTAAAGGCCAAAGAATGATCTTGAAAACATTAGCTTCCAAAAGTCTGCTTGATAGTAGTGTGGACATTAGAGCTAAGCATTTAGATTGTTCTTTCTGAGCCAAAGAAATTTTGCAACCCAGCAAGAAGCAGTTGACCCAGCTGTCCTGGCCTACACAGGTTTAGACGGCACATTTGACCTTCTTGATATAGGAGTTGTTATTAAGGGCAAAGAGTGTTTTTAGTACAACCTTTAAAATGCCTTTTTCTTCTTGGACTTCAGTACCTTTTTGAAAGTGTCCCCTTCCATCCTTTTACTTAAAAATGTTTATTTATGAAAAATAAAAATAAAATAAAAATGTGTATTTACAGTTTTTATTGAGATACTCTGCAATGAGTTGGCTAGACCTTGCCATATGGGATTGCAAATGCACAGACATACAATATATGACCAATTTATTGATAAACATACTTATGAACTATGTGTAAATATGAATAATTATGAAACGTTTTACGTGGTAAAGAATGGGGTATGCTTGTGGAAGTTGATAAATCTAAGAAAACATCATAGAAGAAATGTAATTTCTGGAGCTGCTGTTGAAAACGAGACCATTGTGAGTATTGGCTATAACAGTCAGATTGGCCAGAAGGTCAGATTGGAGAAATATATAGCATCAAATCAAACATAGATTGATATTTTTAGCTAATCTCAGTAACTGTAAAAGGAGTATCAATTATTTTGGGAAAAATTAACAAAGATGCTTTTTTGTGACCAAGTTAGCTAATTAAATTTTCATCTAAATGAAATCAACCTTTTTTCATTCATCCCTTTCTAGGCAGGATTGATTGGAGGTTTATGTCTAATATCTGAAGGGAGTTCCTGTAAGTTCTCTTGGTATGATATGTGCTGCTTAAGTCCTGTAGTTACAAGGGTCCTCTAGAGTTCTAACTTTAATTCTTTCCATAGTAACCTTTTGCTGTTTAAATAGTGTTCATTATCACCATGAAATATCTTTTGGTATGTTTGATTGAAGACAGTGGTTATTAAAGTGATCTCAGGATTCCTTTATACCTAAAAATTCATGCAGCCATAAAAAACGATGAGTTCGTGTCCTGTGTAGGGACATGAATGAATCTGGAAACCATCATTCTCAGCAAACTGACACAAGAACAGAAAAAAAAAAACACCACATGTTCTCATTCATAGGTGGGTGTTGAACAACGAGAACACATGGACACAGGGAGGGGAGCATTGCACACTGGGGTCTGTTGTGGGGGAATACAGAACAGCGGTGGGTAGGAAGGTCGGGGAGGGATAACATGGGGAGAAATGCCAGATATCGATTACAGGGGGATGGAGGCAGCAAACCACATTGCCATGTATGTACCTATACAACAACCCTGCATGTTCTACCCATGTACCCTAGAACCTAAAGTGCAATAAAAAATATATATATTAAAAAATATATTCATTAAGGACTCCCAAAATTTAACAGGACTTTGTTTGTATTGGTTATTATATGTTACTGAGAAATTTTTAAAATATGTAGTTATTAAATATCTACTTATTCAGTAATCTAAAGCAACGATGACCCTGATTACATGTTAATATAAATGACATATTAAAAATAATGATATTGTTTTACATTTTTACAAATTTCTTTTAATGTCTGTATTCACTGTTGTGATATATTATCTTGATGAAAATATATAAAATCTGGCCTCTCAAAGGTATATATTTGGAAAAGGGAGGAGCATTTTAATAGTCTCTTCAGACAAGTGTAGTTGTTTTTCTTGGATATTATACCAAATTCCAACAAGTGATGGTTTGTTTGTTTCTTTTTTTGAGACAGAGTTTCTGTGGCCCAGGCTAGAGTGCAATGGCACCATCCTGACTCACTGCAACCTCTACCTCTTGGGTTCAAGTGATTCTTGTGCCTCAGTCTCCTGAGTAGTTAGGATTACAGGTGTGCACCACCATACCTGTCTAGTTTTTGTATTTTTGATAGAGACAGTGTTTCACCATGTTGGCCAGGCTAGTCTCAAACTCCTGACCTCAGGTGATCCACCTGCCTCAGCCTCCCAAAGAGTTGGGATTATAGGCGTGAGCCACTGCACCCGACCTGACAGTTTCTTAAATGTAAGTTTTAGAAATGGTAGTTTAATAAATGAGTTTCTTAAATGTTTGTGCAGTGTGGAAACTGAAACCATGTCAATGGACTTTTTTTACTCTGTTACATTAAAACCCATTGGTCTAACTTGTACTTTGAATGAATCTTTTACTTCATGTGTGATTTTCTAACACCATGTATTTGTTTATTTGGAAAATAAAGGTTCATTGACTTATACAAATGTAAATACATTTCATTATATAATATCAACAAATTGGATTTGTTGATAGTCAAACAGATCTTATCAGAAAAGTGAATACTGGGAAGTTGTCAGCTCATGGTGGTAGCTGTTTCCCAGAATTCTTATTTTCACTTGAATGGTCAAATTTTATTGCAACACATACTGATTATTTTCTCTGGAGTGACAGGCTTACTTTGTTCATTTTCAAGTCTGAATAATCATAAGTTGTTGGTTATTCTTTTGAATAAAAAGTGTTATTTTTAAAAAAGTGTCTAGTTCATCTCATAACTGAAGCAGATGCACAAATGGTGTGTTTTTATTTTTGTTTTTGTTTTTGAGACAGGGTCTTGCTCTTTCACCCAGCCTTGACCTCCTAGGCTTAAGCCATCCTCCTACCTTATCCTCCCAAGTAGGTGGGCCTGCACGTGTGTGCCACCATGCCTGGCTAATTTTTAAATTTTTTGTAGAGATGGGGGTCTGTGTTGCTCAGGCAGGTGTTGAACTCCTGGGCTCAGGCAGTCCTACCGCCTCAGCCTCTCACAGTGTTGGGATTACAAGCATGAGTTACCACGCCTGGCCTGAGGTGCTTTTTCCTAGAATCAGTCATCATACTTCAAAATGCAGCAGAAGTGCTTTAGATATACTTTCCATTTTCTCACACAGAATATTAAAAAAAATAATTTCAACTGCATCTTCAAAGTCATTCTTCAGTGAAACTGGCTTTCTTTTTTTTTTTTTTTTTTTTATTTGTGAGTATGTGATAAGGAAGAATACAGTACCTGCTGGTATTTTTTGATGCGATTGTCTTGCTTTGTGGTAAGACACCAGCAGTTTTACTCACCATTGCTTTTGCATCATTATTGTAAATGTCAATACAATAAAAATACAAGAAATATCTTATTATGAAAATTTTTTGATTTGGATAATTCTTCCTTAGCTGAAGTTTTAGCCTTGTTTTATAAAGGAGGGGATTGTCTTCAAGCACTCCTTGTCAAGAATCACAAAAAAAAATTAAAAAGGAGAGGGGATTAAAAGGCAAGTTTTGAAAAGGGAGTCTCATTTGTTTCTTCGTCCTGAATTATCCCAGTGGTTTTGTAACCATCCAAGCCTTGATAATGATTACTGTTTCACATTGGGCCCTCTACCACATTTTTATTCTGTAGCTATGTCAAGACAACCTTTTGGTTTTTTTTAGATCTCATTGCTGTTTGTGACTATTTCTTTTAGTCTTATGGTAAGCTTAAAGCCTTTATTCAAAAAGCTTCTCTGCTTTCTCCTAATTGCTGCCATGAAATGAGCAGATGAGAATCCCTAATCATCCATAACTGCAAGCATACTTTGCCATAGTGTTTGAAGCCATTCAGAAATACACAAAAATACATTTTTTCTGTTTGAAATGATCACCCTACCCTTTCAAACCAAAGTAGGGGTTGTTTAGCAATTCTTGAGCCTTAAACTACAACTTCCCACTGAGAAAAAATGCATTTGATCCTGTGTGATTTTTTTCTTTTTTAAATGAATGGATGAATGAATTTTTTTATAATAGAGATTGGGTCTCACTGTTAAACCCAGGCTAGTCTCGAACTCTTGGCCTTAGGCGATCCTCTGATTATTTTCTTTTAAAATTAATAAGCATCTGGGACAAATAGGTGGCGATGAAGTAAAGTTCATATACAAATCAGTGTTTTGTAACATGCTTTCCTTTTTATAATATAATGATGTAACAGCTTACTCATGTATAGCACTTTAGAAATCAGTTTAACAATTAATACTAATAGTACTATAAATAAGATTAAGTATCATTATACGTGTTTCACAGTTGAGATATTAAGGCATGGAGACATTAAGGGGCTTGCATAAGATCACAAAGCCTAGAAGTCATGCTCTGGACACAGTATGGAAGAAATAGAAATTAATGTATTTTAGAATGGCTGAGCATTATCAATGCCCAGAGCAGTGTCTGGCGCATAGTAGAACTCGGTGAATACTTGTTGAGTGAATGAACGGACTTTTCTTTTTAGGCCTGTATTGATGAAAATTTGGACATGGTGAAGTTTCTGGTGGAGAACAGAGCCAATGTAAACCAGCAAGACAACGAGGGCTGGACACCCCTTCATGCAGCAGCTTCCTGTGGCTATCTCAACATAGCAGAGTGAGTGAGTCTCTGTGTGTGTGGCTTTGCAGTATTTGTAGGAATAGCCTTCATTACTCCTCTACTCTTAGTAATTCAAATTTTATAAATTGTTTTAATCTCTTTTTATTACAGATTACAAAAGCAGAAAGTTGAATTATGTTTAAGGAATAGCTGATACAATGTTTTGTAAAGCTGCGAAACACATAGTTTTTTTGTTGAAACTCTTTTTGTTTGCGTCTGTTTTCAGGTAATTTATATTTGCTGGGATATGCAGAGGTGGCTGTTGGGTTGTCTGGGTTCACTTTCTGAACAACTATAGCTGGGCATGTATATAGGCAGGCCTGGAGATTTTTTTCTGGATTCTTTGTAAACCTGTTTTATTGTTTTTTGTTTGTTTGTTTGTTTGTTTTAAATCAGTGCTTAGTACAAATGAAGCACTGATTTAAAAATGCCTAGCATACCAATCACAGCACTCATGTAGTTAATAGCAGAAGAATGAGCCTAAAAATGTGGAATAAAGGGAAGGTGGGCACTGGCATGTGTTCTCCACATTAGTTGAATGGGAATGTTTAATAAGCTACATTAGTAGCTACTAATCTCCAGGACAACTAGCTGTCCCTCCGTGGGGCAGAAGAATCCTGACCATGTGGTACCTGAGATGTAAGAGGCACTGAATAAATATCTGTTGTATGAAGGAATGATCGGCGAGTTTATTTTTAAACAAGGAAGAGACTTTGGCAGTTGAAGTATCTTTAAAATGAGGCAGTTGAGTGTATTCTAGATGAGGGTAAGTTTATATTGTTAAGGTAAATTCCCTAAATAAAATCATGATATTCTATGCTCCTTTGAAAATCAGATTGCTTGTTTGAAGGCCCTTTTCAATAATATGATTAGAGCTCCATTACATTTCTCCTGTTCAGCAAACAGCAGGGAGAATTATGTTGGCAGCTCTGTAGATGCCTGAGAATGACTTCCCACAGAGTCTGATTTGCCCAGGTTTCCTAAGGGAGAGCCTGAGTTGCTAGGTTTGCTGCTGACCCAGGGATGCTCAGTGGGAGAAGTTAAACAAAGGGAGAGTCAGAGCCAGAGCAACTTTAGGCAGCAGCACTGGTGTTTGACTGGACTGCTTATTCTAAAAAGTAGACGACTGTATTGGCCCCAAAGCCAACAGAAATCAACGATGCAGTTTTCTTCACTCTTGATTCCTCCCTCTGTTCCAATTTAATAAAAGTCAGTAATCTTTTCATCCCCTAGGCTGCCTGTTTTCAGAGTCTAATAAGGAGGGCTCTTATTCTTAATCTTATCCAGTAACTCCAGAATTCTGATGCCCAAGAGTTAGTGATTTTACTTAAAAGATTTATT